ATTTTATAGACGAGGTTATAAATGAAGAACCTCATTACTATAATTTAGTCTCCACCAAGCTAGATTTGAGTTCAGTGTGTACTCTGGCTATAAAAAGGTTGAATAAGCAAATTAGAAATTAAAGAGGATTGCAGAAGGCATATTTAACCGACTAGAAGGTCCTATGTTTTAAGACATACTGAAAAACAGATGCTATTTGCTTCCAACAGGAACTGTTTGGAAAGGCTCTGTTCAGAACTACGTTGTGTTAAAACACTTCAAAATTTTGGCTTTACTAGTTAAGAGTGGGTTTCCTGTCACTACGACCTGAAGCAATTAATGCAAATTACCAAGCTTTTACTCGATTTTTATAGATGACACAGTATGTGAATGTCAATTTCTACTCCGAATATCTATTTCCCTCCTTTAGCAAGAGTATTCAGTTTATTTATTTACTTTAATTTTTTTTGTTGTTGTTTTTCCTGTAGGACATATGAGAAAGACAGATAGAGAAAAAGAGAACTCACCCCCCATGGGGGATGTGGCCACACCACAATCCCTTCTTCTCTATTCTCCCCTCAGGATTTTGTGCACACATGTACACACACCCAGCATGTTTGTTTTGTTTGTTTGTTTTTTAATATTTTTAAGCTGCTGGATCCAGGACTCAAACCACAAAGTCAGTCATGTGGGATCCAGTCACCTTAACCACCACGCTACGTGCTGGCCCAGTGCTCAGAGTTCTATGTACTCCCTTCCTACTCTCGGCTTGGTACAAAAGCCAGCCTGAGAATGAACTGACTGGGGTAAGACTGAGCAGAGAAATGAAGGAACTAGATGTTTTAGCATAGTACTGAGTGCTGGTTCACACTGCTCTGCAGGCTACCCTATCCCTAGGCCACCCTATCCCTGCAGGTCGCAGGCACATAAGCCAATGAATCTCCTGTGCTGTGGGAACCCCATTGAGTTTGGTTTTCTGGTATTCACAGTCCAAAATAATCCCAAATGAGAAATGAGAAACAAGTGCTTCTGTGATCTGAACGATTGCGTTCCTTGACAATTCATGCATAGAAATCTTAACCTCCAAGGGACCAGCAGGTGGCATGATGGTTGGACTCTCATGTGGCCAACTGGAGTTTGATTTCCAGACTCGGCAGCCTGCTTTCTCACTTTATCTCTCTCTTATCTATCTGTGTCTCTAGTGTGCACACATGCCATGTAGCTAATTAATAATAATAATTAATTAATTTAATTAAATAAATAATCCTTAAAATAATAAAGAAATCTTAACCTCTTATGGGTGGGGGCTTTTTGGAAGGTGATTAGCTCCAGGGCAGAGCGTTCATGAATAAGATTAGCATCGTCATGAAAAAGACCTGACAGAGGTCTCTGGTCCCACGTAAGGACATAGCAGGAAGTCAGCAGTGTGCAATCTGGAAGAGGGCCCTCCGCAGACCCTGAGCACCCTGGCTCCCTGATCTTGAACTTCAAACCTCCTGAACTGTAACACACAGATCTCTGTGGGTGATAAGTCACTAGACTAAGGTATTCTGTTACTATAGCCTCTCCCTGGAACCTGTTCAGATTTTGCTTTACACTGTTTCTTAACTGTTTCAAGTGTTTTTGTTTTTGTTTTTGTTTTTCCTCAAGAAAATATAACAGGCTTTCAAGAAACATTCTATGGAATTAATGAGTGGCCTTGGGCAAGTCGCTTGACTTCTCTGAGTCTTTTCAGCTCTAAAGAGGATGAGGGTTTCTGTTGCTCCTTCCAGCCTTCACAGCCAGCGGTTCTCTGTAGCTGTTCTAAGAACACAAAGTTTCATCCAGACAAACTTAAAACTCTGTGGCCACACCACAATCCCTTCTTCTCTATTCTCCCCTCAGGATTTTGTGCACACATGTACACACACCCAGCATGTTTGTTTTGTTTGTTTGTTTTTTAATATTTTTAAGCTGCTGGATCCAGGACTCAAACCACAAAGTCAGTCATGTGGGATCCAGTCACCTTAACCACCACGCTACGTGCTGGCCCAGTGCTCAGAGTTCTATGTACTCCCTTCCTACTCTCGGCTTGGTACAAAAGCCAGCCTGAGAATGAACTGACTGGGGTAAGACTGAGCAGAGAAATGAAGGAACTAGATGTTTTAGCATAGTACTGAGTGCTGGTTCACACTGCTCTGCAGGCTACCCTATCCCTAGGCCACCCTATCCCTGCAGGTCGCAGGCACATAAGCCAATGAATCTCCTGTGCTGTGGGAACCCCATTGAGTTTGGTTTTCTGGTATTCACAGTCCAAAATAATCCCAAATGAGAAATGAGAAACAAGTGCTTCTGTGATCTGAACGATTGCGTTCCTTGACAATTCATGCATAGAAATCTTAACCTCCAAGGGACCAGCAGGTGGCATGATGGTTGGACTCTCATGTGGCCAACTGGAGTTTGATTTCCAGACTCGGCAGCCTGCTTTCTCACTTTATCTCTCTCTTATCTATCTGTGTCTCTAGTGTGCACACATGCCATGTAGCTAATTAATAATAATAATTAATTAATTTAATTAAATAAATAATCCTTAAAATAATAAAGAAATCTTAACCTCTTATGGGTGGGGGCTTTTTGGAAGGTGATTAGCTCCAGGGCAGAGCGTTCATGAATAAGATTAGCATCGTCATGAAAAAGACCTGACAGAGGTCTCTGGTCCCACGTAAGGACATAGCAGGAAGTCAGCAGTGTGCAATCTGGAAGAGGGCCCTCCGCAGACCCTGAGCACCCTGGCTCCCTGATCTTGAACTTCAAACCTCCTGAACTGTAACACACAGATCTCTGTGGGTGATAAGTCACTAGACTAAGGTATTCTGTTACTATAGCCTCTCCCTGGAACCTGTTCAGATTTTGCTTTACACTGTTTCTTAACTGTTTCAAGTGTTTTTGTTTTTGTTTTTGTTTTTCCTCAAGAAAATATAACAGGCTTTCAAGAAACATTCTATGGAATTAATGAGTGGCCTTGGGCAAGTCGCTTGACTTCTCTGAGTCTTTTCAGCTCTAAAGAGGATGAGGGTTTCTGTTGCTCCTTCCAGCCTTCACAGCCAGCGGTTCTCTGTAGCTGTTCTAAGAACACAAAGTTTCATCCAGACAAACTTAAAACTCTCTATTGGTTCTCTAGTACACACATCCCTTACAATGTAATCCCAGTGACATGTGCCTCTGGGCTCTGTCAGCTTCCAATGGCTCCTGATGATCCACTGTTTTGCACTCAGCTCTGCCCCTCAGAGGCTGTGATCTCTATGGGCTCAAATCTATCAGGCCCCCTTGTCTACGGGCTCTGGCAGGCTGCCTACTGCGAGCTGCCATCATTAGGAGGCGATGGGAGAACAGGGAGAAGAGTTCAATGAGGATATTTATTCTCCCATCTCTTCCCTGGACATGTTGCCATAGGTTGGCTGCATCCCTCTATGGGAGAAGGCTTCTCTTTCATTCATGGCAGTGAGTCCATTCCTCTTCCTCTGGGCCCAGGCACGATACCAGATCTCCGCCACCGCTGGCCTTGGGAAGCTTCAGCATGCCCTGATGGTTTCTCTTAATCCTGCCTACGCTTTTATAAACAGTCCCTTCAGTAGACGCTCTTAATTACTCCATGCTGGTTAGAATGTGTCCCTCCACAAATCCATGTATTAAAATTTGGTTGGGACAGAATTAAGAGCATGAAAATTTAATCGAACCATGGTGTTGAACGATGGGGTCTCTGGGAAAAGATTAGGATTAGATAAAGTCACTAGGTAAGACCCCTATGACTGAATCCGGGCTTACTCACTGGCACCCTCACCATGCAATGTCCTGCACTACCTCCAGACCTTCAGAAATTCCCCCCCCAGTAAGACTCTCACCAGATACAGTCTCTTGACTTTGGTCCCCTAAAGCCATGAACGAAATGAATCTGTATTCTCTATAAATCACCCAGACTCAGGAATTCCTATTATTAGTAACACAACATACTAAACACCTCATTTGAGTGAGGCATCTGTCTCCTACTAGAAAACTAAGACACAAGGGCTTAAAATTAAATAAAAAACAAGCATGACAGGCACAATAGTAAAAAATGATGCCCTTTGAGGAAGAACTACATGGGAAGGTTCCCGGTTTGCATCCAGAGACCTCCCCGAGCACACTAGGCACGCATGTGGCCATGACTGGAGCTGGCGAAGCTGGGGGTGGACGGCAGTGTCAAGACTCTATTGGGGGTGGCGCTTTCTCTCCCTCTCTCATGGAAGAGAGAAACTTTATTTTTAAAAACCATATTAAAAAAGAAACTAAAGCAATCAATTCTGAGTCCCATGTAAAAAGAAAGGAAAGCATGGCACACGCCAAGGAAACAAAACCACACACACCAAATGAATCAAATCAGACACCAGCTCTTACCTTCCCCAACTGCCAATGAGAATGTGCAGAAAGAGCCATCTCTTGCTAGACCAGAGTTTAAAATTAAAATTAAAAAGTACTTACATACAAAACTACTGACCTACAGAGAGTTTCTGTGTGAGACCTTGTTGAAGAGTCATAACTATGTGCCTATTTTCTAGAGGAGCAAAGAGATGGGAGGAGATCACAGGGCCAGAGCTGATAAAAACACTGGAAATGTCCCAGGGCCAGGTAAGTTTCCTTGGTCCAGGAACCTGCTCTGGAAGGCTCTAGCTGGCCTCTGTACTATAATTTCCAGAGATGCATCTGAGACATTTTTAATTCCTTCTACACACTTCTAGAGCTACCATCCATGACCACAACTAGTTACGACAGCTCCAAGAGAGAGACGACAGATGCCTTTACCCCCATTCCTGAAAACCAGTACGTGCATACACAACTACTGACCATTTCCCAGAGAAAGTTTTCCAGAAGTCTCTAGGTATTCAGGCCCAGAGTCTCCCCTTTTCTCTTCTTGGGGCATTTCCCACAGAACAAGAATCAAATAAATGATCTTCTGATCTGTTTGTCATAAACCATTCTGGTTCCAAGAATGTCAGAAATGGTACCTGTTTCAGGATTAAGAGGCGCAATTTTTCAGGGTTGTCCTGCTTCCGTGTCTTCCTCCTTCAGCATCCTCCAGAGCCAGGGCCTGTAGGAGTGACCCAAACAGCACATTCAAGATATTTGGCTTCAACATGGGAGCAAGTATTAGCAATCAGGGAGTGACCTGCACAAGTGACCATGGATGGAGCCGAAAAGAACCCAACAGCTGACGGGTCCACCAGAAGGATCCAACAAAGACTGATGGGGAAGGTTCCTGAGCAAGGAGAGGACTGAGAAGAAAAAGATACCCGACTCCATTCTTCTAGTCATTCAGATCCAAGACCCAAGTTCAAGTCATCATGGCT